GGAAATCTATTCTAATACAGAAATCACCACAGATGTCATTGGTAGTAATCACACCGTTTTAAGACACTTAACATCTGTTTACAGTGTCACCTGCTCCATAAATATGCTTCTTTACAGACTTACACTTTTTTTTCAATTCGTTTTTTAGCTACTGCCTTATCCACAGTAACAACATATTCCAGTAGCCATCCTAATTATTTTATGCATAGCTTATTTTTTCAATTAATTGAGCACTATGGAAGGAATGGGTTCGCCATTTTTTTTCACACATATTTGGTCTAGTAATATCTAAATGCATATTTTTTAAAATCACAGATTATCAAAGAAAAAATAATTTGTTTCAATTGTAGATGTATTCATAAAGATATACTTAAAATTTGAAAGAGGAAAAATAATATAAAAATGTTTGCTCAGATAAAGCTAAAAATTAAAAAGGAGACAAAAAATTATATAAGGTTTAAATAAATAAACGCAAAAAAGTATGTTTTTTATATAATTTTTTTTAGTTTGGAGTTTCCCTAAGTGAAGTAGCTGTTGTCGATAATCTTGTGGTCTTGGTCACTCTGTACAGGGTGGTCGAGATTGGTCTGTTTTAACAGAGAAACCCTATTTCCTGACTAGATAGAGCAAAACCGACATATATGTCATGGGCTCGATTTCTGAGACACGTTTAGTGGCGTAAACCGCCTGTTGATATTTTCACTGCCAACTGAGATACGGGGTCTTTTTGAATTTTTTACCATTTGGAAAATTGCCCATAACTTTTGTATTTCGCGAAATAATAATTCTGTAAAAACGTTCTTAAGGCACTTTTTAAGCACAATCCAGTGGCGTAGTCAGTTTTTCTCTATGCTTGGAAAGGGTTAAACGCCAACATTTTTTTAAGTTCATAGCCAACTATGATTTCAATTTAAAAAATTATATTTTTTATTATTTCTGACAAAAAAAGCAAGTATAGAAAAAAACTGACTACGCCACTGGATTGTGCATAAAAAAGTGCATTAAGAACGTTTTTACCAAATTTTTTTATTCCGCGAAATACAAAAGTTATGGGCAATTTTCCAAATGGTAAAAAATTCAACAAGACCCCATATCTCAGTTGGCAGTGAAAATATCAACAGACGGTTTACGCCATTAAAAGTGTCTCAGAAATCGAGCTCATGATATCTATGTCGATTTTGCTCTATCTAGTCAGGAAATAGGTTTTCTCTGTTAAAACAGACCAATTTCGACCACCCTGTACAAGTAAATCATTGTGTATGGAAAAGTCGAAAAATTCTGTTATTTTTTAGCATAATTTTTTGGCGCTTATTTATTTACACCCTGTATTAAAACAAAGTTAAAACTCAGAATCTATGGACAATATTTGTACACAAAATATAAAAGGGCACTTCTTACTTATATTTGACTAATAAAAAATTACTTCTGATCTGATCATAAAACAGACACAATATTCGTTCACTGTGGTTAAAGTAGGTAAGTATGTTTTTTACCTACAGAAAAAAGAAACATCAACTCAAGAGTACTTTATACAGACATGTATCTAAAAATTAATGTACAATAATATTAAAATTTTAATATTTAGCGGGAGAATGTTGAAAATTAAGTTTGAGATGGCACAAATGAAAAGTTTAATTTTAAAACTAAACATTTTTTAAGATAATATAGATCAAAAGAACATTATTAAATCTGCAGTTGGATATACTAAGCATAAAAAACAATATTTCTTTATGCGTTAAACTTATCTTTCTAAAAATTGGTAGTCAAAAAAAATATCACAAAATCAAATCAAATATCATTTATAAATATGTTGCATTTCAAATAATTTTTGGAAAAACTGGGGAAAAATATTGGAAACAATATTTCAATATTTGCAGTTAGTAGATTAGAATAGCAGTAGTACATTAGAATTTGACTGCTATGATAATTTATAAGGGTTTAAAGAAGTTTCAAATACTGAAACTATATTTGCGTTTCAATTGATAAGAGAAGTTATAATACGCTATTTAATAAATTAAATATACGTATCATAAAAAGCATTTGATAATAATAAAAAATACAAAAAAAGTTGCAAATTTTATCAGTTCTGTTTTGGTTTGGTACGTGAAAAATAAAGTACATTATTTATAAAGTTCTTCAAATATAGCAATTCAAAAATGTTAATACATATTTTCATATGTATAAATAATAAATACTGACATATTTATACCTATATTAAGAAACATAAGATTACAGAAAATCAATGTATGTATTTTAAAAATATATTTAAATTAATTTTGGTTAGTTTGTATTATGGAGGGTAGAGGTAAGGGTAATCATCTCTTATGGGATTGCTAGGTTGCTAGCTTGCTCTTATACACTCAGATGCAAAAAAACGCAACGGAGAAAATTTTGATCAAATTTAAACTATTACATTTTTGTTATTTTTAGCCCTATTTTCATGATTTTTTAGCAAGCTGTATATAATTATATCAACATTAATTTGTAAACTCGTTTTTTTATAAACTTTAGTATTTGGCATATATATTATACAGGGTTAATCGAGGGGTTGTTTTTTACCCTAACTTTGACACACCCTGTACAATAATTTCGTGTGTAAATTTTCCTGAAATATAATTTTAGGGTCAGAACCATGTTTCCTGAGCATTTTGTTTTTTGGATCATGTCAATAAATGCCTTGGTTAACAATATTGCAATTTTTTCAATTATAATTTATTTTTGAAGTTTTTTTTTTCAATATCACAGGCAGATTTGCTTGGCAGGAAGCTAAGAGGCATATATTTGAGGTCGCGAAGCGTTACCAGCTTCATTAAATGAACTTCGCTTGGTGCTTTTAAGGACCTGTTTCCTAAAGAAAAATGGGAAAACATAACGCAATATGATGTATGCAGCCTCAATGACAGTATGAATAAACGTATACAGGCATACAGTTATAGCGGCCAGGGGAGGCAATACAGTACAAGTATTAGGGTATTTTTTACATTTTTTTTCTGTTTGACTGTATCGTTAGTCTTTAACATATTTTTTTTATTTAGTATAGAGTATCCGATGCAGCGTAATATGAAGGTACGTTTACACCGGCTGCGCCGCCCCGCGCCCAGAGTTGTTAAACTACACGTAGTAATTAATAAACTACATTTACTACATGTCACAAGTAGTTTGGTTTGGTTTGGTTTTTTAAATGTCGAGAAGTAAATGTGTAGTTTATGTAACTAATGACAAATGTAGTTTTTTTAAATAACAGTGAAAACATAACCTAAAAACTTTGTTTGTTGATCAATTTAAAGAAATAAAAAATCTATATTTTGTAAATTTGTTCCTTATTATGTGATATTTTTGATACTTAGTAGTTAAAAATTCTTGGAAGACGTCGATGTGTCCATACCTGGCTCCATACCTTCTGGGAAGAGGGGAATTATGAAGTTGTGCCTTTAGATGTAAAAAATCATATATTCTCCTGGAGAATGTCTATGGAGAATTTCTCTATAAGAATTTATAGTTTATTTTGTATTCAATGTTACTTTGTATTTCGTAGAAAATACACTTTTGTTGAAAAAAATTTGTGTTTTTTTCTGATGTTGTTTAACTTATAACAAATATAGTATAACTTCATACTTCCATGATAAGAATTTGGCTTGATTTTTGTTTAAGGTCTAAACTGTTTATGTTTTACTATATTTTTGTAGGTAGTTTTTAACGTAGTTTTTGTGTAGTTTTTGAAGGTAGTTTTTAAAATTTTAAAACGTAGTTAATACAAAAAACTACGCGTAGTTTTTGGCGTAGTTTTTTGCTTCATAAACTACTTAACAACCCTGTCCGCGCCCCGCTAAACATTTTTTTAACATGTACTTTTGAAGTGTATTTTTTTAGCGCGCACATAAGTATATGTCAAAAATATGGTTTGCCCGACGCAGCGCGCCTACCCTAACGCACCTTGACGTTACGACTATAGTCACCAAAACCATCTCGTCTTTTTAAAAAATTACATCAAAAGTAATGATAACTGAAAAAAATGCAAATTGATCGTGATCTGTTCATTTTGCTCTTAAAAATTAACCAAAGCATGTATTGACGTGATCCAAAAAACAAAACGCTCAGGAGACATGGTTCTTACCGTAAAATTATATTTCAAGAAAATTTACACACGAAATTATTGCATAGGGTGTTTTAAAGTTAGGATAAAAGAAACAACCCCTCGATTAACCCTGTATAATATGCCAATTACTAAAGTTTACAAAAAAAACGGAGTTTACGAATAGTTAATATAATTATGTACAGTTTGCTAAAAAATTCATGTAAATAGGACTAAAAATAACAAAAATATAACACTTTAAATTTGACCACAAATTTCTCTGTTGCGTTTTTTTGCATCTGAGTGTAGATTGTTTGAAAAAGTGGTAATTTAAAAGGGGAAAATAAGGTAGGGTTTGCCAACCGTGTTCTATTTCAGAGGACAGTTCTCTTTTTAATAGTACTGTCCTCTTTTCTCTCACATATTGAAACCAAAATGCTTAATTAAGTTGTTAATTTGGCAACAATGTGTTTTCGCTACTCACACTCGAAAAGAAATCTTTATGTGGAAGAAATATTTGTGGAAGCAAGATATGTTTAGCTTTATTTGTAGCTTATGTTTTGAAATAAAAAGTGTTGTAGAAAAGCAGTCATTTTATTTTCACAAGTTTTGAGTAAAAGTATTTTTAAAAAATAAGAAAGACCATCAATCACATAGCGTTTACATAACTTTTGGGTAAATTCTTGACAGCATTTGCACGAGGTTTCAAAAAACGTTTCCCCCGCGGCGCTTTTTTACCCTCTTGTCCTCTAATTTTTATTTTGAAAGTTGGCAACCCTAAAATATAAAGGTTTACTAAATGACCACAGTAGCACTAATAAGGGATCAAACTGAACTTAGCGATTATAAATAAAGTGCAGTTAATAAAAAAAGAGTGCCAAAACTCGCCTTCAGAAATCGCATATTATTTCCTGTTCTAAAATCCTAATTTTTTGGCGTCTCTTTCAAATGTAGAACATTTGCTACAGCAGCGCCATCTTAATTGTTCCCTCTTTGATGACTACTTTTCAATACCTCCATAGTTTGTATTATATGGAATAATTTCTAAAATATAGCACTGCAGAAAGTACTCTGTAGTTTATGTTTTTTTTTGTTTTTGAATGCATCTAATAAAATACCTTACATTTGCAACAATTTATCAACATTATAAATGGTTGTAGTAAAGAATAAAATTTCTGAGAATGTTTAAACTTTTTTCCCATGTGTGTCCAATAACCTTGAATACAATATCTTAAAATCTAATCAAAATGTGTACCCCTTGTAAACATTTATTTTTTTGATTATACCAATATGGTTTTATGACATGTACTCATTTCGTGTGCTGAAAAATCGTTACAAGATGAAGGCATTTAAAAGAAATCAGCGAATGTGCCTAGCAATGAAATTTTGCATCATTTGCATACTGCATATGCATGAACTAAAGAACGCATTCGCAATGCAAAATAGAGCGTTTTAACTCAAATAAACAACCTATTGAATCAGTTAGTTTATCATCAGACGATGTACACAGAAACGATGATTGTATAGGGTGATCAGAAGAAACATGAGGCGATGCCGGAAAGGGCGGGTCATTGCTTTTTGTGTTTGTGCTTGCTTCTTGAACGATGCTTGTTCAACTGTTCTCATTTGATGCCCGAGTATTCTTCTGGGTACAGGTGTACTCCCTCCACAGTGAATATAGACGCATCTGTAAAGAAAAACAACAGAATTAAAATCAGAACAAATTCTATAAATAATTTCTCGTGAATAATTTTATACAGTATTTTTATATAGTACATTAATGCTTAATGATATTCTTATTAGCCTTGTTTATATATTAACTATACTCTGTTTTTTTCTCAGGTAAGATTTCTACAGACGATGACAAAAAAAAGCAGATGACTTCCATACCAATCCATTTATTACACTAAAAAAAGTTTCTAATATTTTTTAAGTTAACTATGTATGGGTTTATAAATAAATACGTCATGCGTCGTTTCTTGTTGTTTTTAACCAGTTTTATTGGTTTATTTCAAAAACGACAGATCATATTTCAATATTATGAACTCGACTTAAGATTTTTGGGAGTTGTCAAAATCAGGTTATAATTTTGTGCCAAATTATGTCAAATAGAAATGATAAATATTTTGCAAAATCGACTGTGTTGTTAGTTGTGTTTCGTGTTTTTTAAAATTATATGGAGGAAAACACGAGGGAAAATTAAGTGTTGACCCAGACCATAGTTTACATGTGGTGCACAGAGACCGCCAGAGACTCAGTTTGCCAGAGACTATGGCCAGAGAGTTGTATTAGCCACAAATAAAGTTGTATACCATCTCGTATATGGTACCAAAAACTGGAGTATCTGTAAAATAACATCACACGATAGGTAAATAATAGATTTTAGTACTGCAGAAAAATTAAGATTAAAGTTAATTAATCAAGATTAGATTTTTCCAGTTTCATACAGTTTTTTTACAATATTTTGAAGTAATCACTTGTCACTCAAAATTTAAATATTATTAATTATGCGATCCAATTGTACCAACTTATTTCTTTGTAAAATAAAATAACTACTTTGAAATTAAAATGACAGACAAATCTATCACTGTCAAGGATGTTGTCGTTGGACAGACTATAGTTATTCAGAGTCAGTTAGTTCTGGGAGTTCACACTGATAGATGGCTACGAGAATTGCATCGCGGGTCTTTCGAAAATTTAGGAAAAAAGTAAATACATAGGTTAATAATTTTAAGCAGGCATATTGTCAAGGTGTATGGCGACATCTGTCGGAAGAGCGTAAAACCACTAAGCATGTTTACATTGTCAAGAAGCCTGGCGAATTGAGTAGCCGTCATCTCTTAGACATACGTGGAAAATATCGATGTTCTAAAAGGAATTTACTGGAAGGAAAAGGGAATGCTGCAGATAATTTCCGAAAGTTCTCGAATCAGCCGTTACGGTATATAAGACGCTCTCCGCGCTCGACAGTAACTTTAGTTAGGTTAGGTTTGGTTTGGTTTGGTTGGCGTTCTGTAAAATAGCGAATTGTGACAAAATTGGCGAAGGATTTTTAGTTGTGTGTTGTAATCAGTATAAATTGTGTGCATATAGTTGGAAAATAAATTCGTTAAGTGTTTTATCGTGTGTTTTGAATTAGAGGACTCACGGACCCACAATATTTTACAAATTAAAAAAATAATTCTGAATTAACAAATTCTATCATCAAATGGGATTTTGTCCTCACAATAAAATCACTAGTAACATATCCATTCCTTCCGCCAACAGATACTGCTTCAGTTTTCTTGGTAAAATAATAAATACTTACTTATTAACCTTATTGTAGATAAATTAAATAAAAATAACCTGTTATAAATTTAAATAAAGTCTATAAACTAATGTCGATGTTGAAAATAACTAGTTAGTGTCACTAGAAAATTGCCATGGCGACACAAGCCATCTTGATTACAATTTTATTGAAAAATCGCTTTTTATTCAAAGTCTGAGCCAGATAGGTATAGAAGAAAAAAAATAGCTCTTTCAAACTATAATATAGTTTGAAAGAGCATTTAAATCTCCTACGACTTGTTTAAAAAAATACATAGTGTTTTTGACGTAACGAGTTTTTAGGCTCTGGCTTGAAAGTCAGCATAATAATTAATTCTGAAAAGTAATGTACAAGGTGTTGACAGACTTTTTTATTATAGCATGCATATTTAAATATCTTTAAATATCTCAAAAACCAAAGCTTTTAAACATATTAAACCCTTATAATAAATGCCTTATTTTATGTCCAAGAATCCAAAAACGAAATAAAATACCGGGTGTGTTCCATAAGAAAAAATATAACTTTGGTATGGATCTTAGTTCTGACACACCCTGTACATTTCAAATTAATTTTAAATTATGCACATTGTCTTCCCACATATACCCATAAAGTTTTTTGTTTCTATATCTTTCCGTTTTCGTATTATCAACCGAGGCGAATGAGGTGCGCCACCCTGTATAAGACAGTTATACAGTGGTATAGTTTGTCCGACAATTCAGGGATGATTTGGTTTGGTTTGGTTTGGTTGGCGAGTGTGGATTGGATTTTTCGGCGAGTGTAAGAATCTTATGTGATCGTTTGATTGGAACTATTAGATTAGTAATCTTTGCGCCCTGATTTCAGGGGTAAATGTTTTAAAAGGCCCGAAAATAGTCTTATGAAAAAAGTTCGAATTACTGGAAGGAATGCCCGTTCTATAGAGTATTCGGACTATTGAAGTTAATACTGTATTAAAAAAGCAATAATAATAATCATTTATTATTGACTTTAAATATACTCTTCTTTATTTAAAAAATTCTAACTACTTAGAAATTAGATAAAATACAGTACTAGAATCACTAAATAATTAAAGATAAAATTACTCACCGTCTGGAAGTTCTAGAAGCTTTCTTGGGAGTTCTTCAAAGTATCTGTAAAAGTAAATTATAAAGTTACTAATGCATAATGTGTAATAATATAAAAATATTATTTTAAGGGTAACTGGTATAGAATATTTTTATAAGAATAGTATTTGGTGGTAATACAAAATTAACAACTTTTTTAGGTCCAGTGTTAATGGATTTCAATTTTATTGGGTTTATATCTGAAATTACTACTACAGGTATGCAAAAAAGTTCATATAAACATATTCTCATACATTCAGGGTTCAAATAAGTTCTAATTTCACATTTTTCATAAACATTAATTTTGGATATAAATATATTATTTATTAAGATATAAAGTTGGATATTTTTTTTTGGAGTTTGTTCATCATCATCATCACGCAGCCCCCTTTCACGTCCATAGTTGAACATAGGCCTCCTCCAAACGTCTCCAGTTCTCGCGGTTTTTAGCTGTTGCAATCCAGTTAGTTGTTGTTCGTTTCAGGTCGTCGGTCCATCGGGTGGGAGGTCTGCCTTGGCTACGCTTGTCGGCTCTTGGTCTCCACTCTATAAGTTTTTTAGTCCATCTCCCGTCTGCCATTATAGCAATGTGTCCAGCCCATCTCCTTTTTTGTTTTATGATTCGCTGGATAATGTCATCCACTCCCGTACGTCGGCGTATCTCTTCATTTCTTACTCGATCTCTCAAAGTCAGGCCAATCATAGATCTCTCCATCCGCCTCTGTGTCACTCTCAATTTTTCTGCGGTTGCTTTTGTTAGAGTGAGTGTCTCTGCGCCAGAGGTCAAAACCGGGAGGATACATTGGTTAAATGCCTTTCTTTTCAGGTGTATTGGGATATTTGCTCTAAAGATGTCCCTCATTTTTCCGTAAGCCGCCCATCCCAAGGTAATTCGTCTAGCCAGTTCACAGGTTTGGTTATCTCTGCTTATTTTGATCTCATGGCCCAAGTATACATATTTGTGGACTAATTCTGTTCTGTTGTTGTGAATTTGTATGTGTTCGCTGGGCACCATATTAGTCATTATCTTAGTCTTGTCAAAATTTATTGTTAGTCCAATCTCGTGTAATGCATCGTTAAGTTCTTGAAGCATGTCTTTGATCTCTCCCAGACTATCTGACACTATAACGATATCATCCGGAAAGCGTAGGTGGTTGAGTCTCTCTCCATCGATAACTATTCCTTTTTGTTGCCAAACTAGCATTTTGAATGCATGCTCAAGAACAGTAATAAACAATTTTGGCGACATGGTATCGCCCTGCCTAACTCCCCTTTTTATTTTTATCTGGTTAGTTGTGGAATATAGATTTACAGTTGCTGTAGCATTGTCATATATGTTTTTTATTATGTTACAATATCGATGGTCGATTCTACATTCTTGTAGCGCTGTTAGGATGGCCGGTAATTCTACCGTATCGAACGCTTTTTTAAAATCGACAAATATCACTGCTAGGGGACGATTGTATTCGATGGTTTTTTCTATTAAGGTTTTTAAACACTGCAGATGATCGTTGGTACCAAATTCGGAACGGAAACCAGCTTGCTCTTTAGGTTGGTAGAAGTCCAATTTTGCCTCTAGTCTATTTGTTATAATTCGGGTATATAGTTTTAAAGATGGTTAAGAAGGCTAATTGGTCTGTAATTTTCCAGGTCTGCTATGTCTCCTTTTTTATGTAAGAGGATAATTATTGAGTTATTCCACTTTGTAGGGATATTTTGATTTTCCAGACAGAGATTGAACAGCCGTTGAATATTGGTCATTAATACTGTTCCTCCCATCTTTATCGCTTCTGTGACGACACCATCATCCCCCGGGAGCTTTATTGTTCTTCATATTTTTTAGAGCATTGTAAATTTCACTTACAGAGATTTCCGGAACATCCTCAGAACCCTGATTTTGAACCTTTCCTTGTAGGTACTTTCTCGAGTCTAGAGTAGAATGGTTGGTGTATAGTGTTTCATAGAATGTTTCCACAATCTGTAATAAATGTTCTCTATTAGATGTTATATTACCATTTTTGTCCTTGAGTTTGACGATTTCTTTTTTTCCATTAGTGAGCTTGCGTCTCATTATTTTCATGCTCTTATTATCCTCGATAGTTTTAATAATTTTTTCGTTTCTGTGCTTTCTTATGTCTTTTCTGATTTCTCTTGATATTTCCTTATTTAGTTTATTCAAATCACCTTGACTGGCGTGTTTGTCGCTTTTCAATTTCCTTCTTTGTTCCATTTTGCGTTGTGTTTTCAAACTGATCTTTTCCTCCTTCAGATTTGTTGGGCAACATTTCTTTTGGGCTTCCGTTATTGCTTCTACTATTATATCATTTAAGATATTAACATCGTTTGGTGATGATATGTTTTGAAGGGTTTGAGTGATGTGGTTTCCGAATTCCTGTATACTTCTCGGGTGTGTCCATGTCTTACTTTGTTTTTTCCTTATCATTTTGTGCCGTTCGTAATTGGTGTTTAATATAATTGTGGCTCTCACCATTCGATGGTCGCTTGATTTTGCAAATTTATTAAGGACCGTTACATCTCTAAATATGTACCTTTTGTCAGTGATAAAGTAATCGATTTCGTTTTTCGTTCTGCCATCTGGGCTTTTCCATGTCCATCTGCGGTGGGGTTTCTTCTGGAAGAAACTGTTCATTTGAAACAAGTTTTTCTCTAATAGGAAATTTAAAAGAGTGTCACCACGATCGTTTCGTCCTGGGCTTCCAAAATTGCTTAAGGCAGTTTCTGATGGATCTAATTTCGTTCCCAGTTTGGCATTAAAGTCACCGCATACGACAGTGAAATGTGTATGGTTATTTGAGATAGCTGTACATAAATCATCATAAAAAGTCTCAATCTCCTCGTCTGTATGTTCTGTTGTTGGAGCGTAAATTTGAACTACTTTTAGGTTATATCTAGGGTTTAAAAATGGCGTATATTACTCTAGTGGATACTGAGTGGATGATTTTCAGGCTTTCTGCTAGCCTTTTATTTATGAAAAAACCTACACCTCCTATTGACTGGTGTTGTTCTCCATTATAGTAAAACAAATGACCAGATTTTAGGGTCTCGAGACCTTCACCTCGTCTCCTGACTTCGCTCATTCCGACATTCCGACAAACTCTGTCGGAATGTCGGAGTTTGTTCACTTATGTTATAAAAATAAGGGTATTCTATTTGAAATAGTAGAGACAAATATATAATTTAGTTTGTACAATTATTAGTTTTGAGAACACTCTTATAGAATACTTTTAATTCGAAACCGGTATAGTAATATACGGTATACAGTATAGTAATATGTTATTGTTAGAATATAAATTTTAAGCCAAATTCACAGAATCTAAAAATCCATTTGAAAATATACAACTGTGTGTATAAATATTAAATATTTCGACTTGTTGAGACACCCAAAGCAGGAACAGTAATGAATACTGACTCTGTTTTCTACAACGCCCAAGCCTCGCAGACCAAATTACGGATCTCTACTGAAGCTATCTGCATGCTGCCAACAATCTGCCGAATTAATTTTGTAGGCAGACAAAAAACATCTGGAGAAGCGGCGCTACAAGTTTATTTATGCTATAGTAGTAGCGTTTAACAATGCAAAGTATTAAAATACTAGTTTTTTTTATTCAAAACTCTATAAAAATCAGTACCATGTAATTCTCAAGAGGATTTAGTCCTGTAGTTTTAATTTAGTTCATTTCGAAAATGTTTTTGTATCTTTTTATATCAACACACTGTATAAAAATTAGTATCAACTAATGAGTGAAATCTTAGGCATGTCTATTAAATACAACTAAAATAAACTCACTTGTGTTGCATCGCCTCTTCGGCTCCCAGTCTTTTGGTAGGGTCCAGCTGCAATAACGCAGTAGCCATTGCCTCACCAAATGATACGTCGTGTAACCTCGGCCAGCACAAACCCAACCTTCTCGGTTTATAGTTCCCTAATTTGTTGGGTTTGTAGCCAGGAAGTCGCGTGCACCCTTGCCAGTCTTCTTCGGTCGGCGTACCCAGCACCTGTTCCAGAAACGCAAATAGGTTTTAATTAACTACAAAATAGTTTGTTTCAGTAGATTCATTCAGTAGATTGCAAGCATGATGCATAGATTCTTATTGCATTCAACTGCAATAAAAATGAATTCAACTGCAATAATTTCTGTCCTATATACATGAATACAAGTTAAAAAAATCACGAGTGCAAGTATATTTGATACCAATTAAACTTTTAGTTACGTAATCGAGGGCGCGATTTTTAAAATCATTGTTGCCAACCATGAATGTATTCGACGTCGCGCCGTTCTAACTGGAATTTAAATTTCCCGCTGGAGATTCAGGTGGTAGCTCTGCTGTAAAAAATGTCAAGTTACCACATTTATTTATTTATTTCCAGACATTATCATTCGTTTTGACACTTTAGTTTTGTATTACGAGTTTTTGGTTTAAATGATTAGTGTTGTAATACTTTAAGCTTAAAAATGTTTACTAGCAGACCTTGCAGTCGAACGTTTTTCTTTTTAGAACCTCTTTTAGTGCAAGTGCTGCTTTTAGTAGAAGATAGCTTAATAGCCGTAAAAACTCATCGCAACTTTGTTAGAATATTTTAAACAGAAAAGTGATAGTAATGACCCTTAAGTGCTGTTAAGAAAGTGAGTTTTGTTGATGTAAATAATGATTGTTTATATATTTATAATTAATTTATTTTTGTTTTCTAAAATAGTTTGATTAAAAGAAAATATGTAAAAGTGGACTACGCTGTGCCGGTCAAGCTTAATCACGTGACTAAAAGTTTATTTGATATGAACTATAGTGCACTAGTGCAATGCGGCAATGATTAGAATAGTTATTGGCGGAAGCAGTACCGGGAGAATTGTTAGCTCAGGAGTTTGGAACACCATCAGAAGAAAAATTCCACTCCTCCAACTCCCAGTGGATGTCATACCAAGACATCCACTGGGAGTACAACTTTAAGAAACACCTCTCTGTAGTATTAACCTAATCTAACAACAAAAATAATTGTTCGCTTACAATTAAAAGACCATATCATACCGTGCTATAACGATGCTTCCAAAACCAAAGCAGGGACAGGGAGAGGAGTATTTGGGCAAAAAACTCCGAACTAATGGGCACCTAACCCAGAATCCTTCAGGCAGAAATCTACGCTATCGAAAAATGCGTTCAATTCATTTTAAATAGAAACTATCGGAAATAAAAAATAGCACTAAAAACGATCAACTCAGTAACCATCAATTTGTTCAGACAGTCAGGTGGCATTTGGGACGCTTATGAGCCCAAAGTTATCGTCGAGACTCTTCTGGAAATGCCTGGGTGAACTGGGAACTCTGGCACGAATGAACAGAATTAAATTATTCTGGGTGCTGGGCCACAGCGGCATCCAAGACAACGAAAAGCCAAGGATGAGCTAGCTAGGCAAGGATTATCGGCATCCTATCTTGGTCCAGAGCTAGTACTGGCAATACCCAAATGTATGGCCCGTAGTGGATTAAAACTCTGGATAAGGGAAAAGCAGAATGTGCACTGGAGGAACAGACAGGGGCACAGGCACAGCAAGGCCTTTATCCGTGGACCTAGCTCTAAAACTACAGAACAACTGCTAATACTGAGAAGGAATAAAGTGCGGATTACAACAGGTCTCTTGACGGTCGCTTGACACATGGCTGTCAAGTATTACCTGAACACCCAATGATACTCCGGAACACACAATGTTTGCTTGTCCAAGATGGGAACAGGAAAGATGTGAGGCACGCATGACGATTGGTGGCAACATCTCCGCAGATACCTTCTTAAAATCGGTAACAGAAAGAAGAGAAAACTTTGAAGCCATCTCAAAACTGGCCCAAAATATACTAGAGGCAAAATACAGCGAAGAGCAGGGGAAATGAAACAAAAAGAACAGTCCAGCGTCTTCTTGAGGAGATGCGTCCAGCGGGTCCAGGTAGACGTGGCAGGAGCGAGGGGGTGATGTTTAGTGGGTAGTGTCCTCCAGGCAGCTTAAGGAGAGATTGAGTCCCACACTCCGTAAGTAAAGGTATTTTACACCTCCAGAAAAAAAAAGAATGTCCAGAGAAGCTGAACATATTACTACTCTCGGTGCTAGCCCTCGGATAGAAGGTAATGAAAAAGCAAACGATCTAGCTAGAAAAGGAGGAAACACTCTACTAACTGGACCAGAACCGTTCTGCTTCCCAATTGGTAACCAACTTAAAGCAGAAGTCAAGAACCTGGACAAGACTCCATCCGTAACCTGGAATGGAAATCCCTCAAAGGTCTAAGACACTCGAAGAAATTTCTTAGGACTTTCTTAGGATCGAGAAAAATAAAAGATTTTCCTATATAAAAGAGACATTAGAGATATGAAAGTGCATTATTAAATTAAACGATGAATTTGCTTTTGCCAGACATTTTTTGTGCGAGAAAACCTAAAAACAAAGATCTTAAGCAAAAAAAATTATGGCGGAGGTCGACATTGTTTTCATTTTAAAATCCACACATAGACATAGACTATTTTTGTTTGGTATTTTGTTTCCTCACATTAGTCAGTGTTTCACTAGTCACATTTAGAAACAGTGGCTGCTCAAAACGGGAACATTTTGGACACAAATTGCAAAAATGTTTCGAAACATTTAGTCTAAAAGCTTTGATTCCGCATCGAAATATTTCAGGAAACGGCTAGTACCACCACATTGGAAACACATGTAATAAAGCCATATAAAATATATAGGTTTCGAAAATGTTTCCTATTTGTGGCATACCGTTTCCATTTTGTCCCAAGAAACAGACACGATTATTAGAAACATTACCTAAAATGTGTCCAAAAATGCCTACTTGGGACAGAATCGCTACTTCTGTGTGAACACTGACGTGTAATTGACGTGTTACCATTCTTACCTTAAATATCTTATCCAACTGATCGTAGGTGTCCCGCACCCCAGGAAAGATCGCCGTGCCCGTTATCATTTCCACGAATATACAGCCCACGCCCCACATGTCTAAACTGGTCGAGTACTCCGTGGAGCCGAGCAGGACGTCCGGCGGCCGATACCACAGCGTCACCACTTCGTGGCTGTAGGTGTGGCTGGGCACCGATTTGGCCCTGGCCAGGCCGAAGTCGGCCAGCTTCAGTTCGCCGATCTCGGAGATGAGCAGGTTCTGCGGTTTGACGTCCCGGTGCAGTACCAGCCGCTTGTGGCAGTACGCCAAACCGCGCAGGAGCTGGAAGAGGAACAGGCGCACGTTGCGCGGGTCTAGGCCGCCGAAGTACCGTTCTACGTACTGGGAGAGGTCTGTATTCTAAAAGGAATTAAATAAACGTTAATAACGGTTTAAGGTAGGGTTGTCAACCGTCCTCTATTTCAGAGGACAGTCCCCTTTTTAATCGTACTGTCCTCTTTTCTCTCACATACTGAAAAAGTCCTGTTTTTTTCACACCAAATCCAAGATATAAAAAATAATCGTCTATTACCAAAATGCTTAATAAAATTGTTAATTTGGCAACAATATGTCTTTCGTTACACCCACTTTTTGTACAGAAATGACATACTTATGTACAAGAATAATTTGTGGAAGCAATGCGTCTTTAGCTACTATAGCTGACTATATATTAACTTATGTTTTGAAATAAAAAGTTTTGTAGAAAATCGTTTGTTATCATTTAACAAGTTTTGAGTATAAATATTTTTAAGTAAGCAAGAAATACCATCAACCGCATAACATTTACATAACTTTCGGGTAAATTTCTGACATTCGCGGGAGGTGTTAAAAAATGTTACGCCTATGGCGCGGCACCTTTTTTAGGATTCCGTACCCAAAGGGTAAAAACGGGATCCCTATTACCCTTGTTTATATATTCTTAAAGTTGGTCAACCGACTAGACAAAATGTGCTGCTAACTGGAGGACAAATCGTGAACCTTTCGGAGCGGAGTCAAAAATATCGGTTATTTTCGTTATTTTGCTCAGAGTAATGTAATAATATAGCCCGGGTATCTGCGAACTTTAATAGTGATCAGCTGATTAAGAAATTTAAACGAAACTTTTATTTTACTGTAAACTGTGGATTATTTTTGCCTGTTATTTTAAGAATTCTAAACTGTATTAACAAAGAAATTATTATTTCGATATGTTGGTACATTATTTATAATTTATGATAATTTTATGCTAATTGGCTGTTAATTAATATTTAAAAAAAAGTTACATACCTATTTTAAGTTGATTTAATGCAGGTTTATAAAAGAATCATTCCATTCTTAGATTATTTTATTCTAAATTGAGTGCTGTACGAATTTTACGATATTTTTTTTTTTGAAAACATAAAACTTTTTACATTTTTGATGCTAACTAATTGGCATGGTATTATTGTTATGGAAATTAGCCAAGAAAGAAAAGAATTGGCTATAACTTGTAATTTTTCGAAAAAAAGATATTATACCTATCACTGAAAAGCTTAAAAAATGGCGCTTTTTATAAAGTCATGGCCAACTATGGTTTACTAAAAAAATATATGTTTGTGTCATATGTCAAAAATGACAGACTTTAGAAAAAAAAAACGGAAAACACAAACTCATTAGGTATGTGATTATCTACAACTTTTCTCTGAAAACTTTTTGTCTAAAATACCGTATGATCGAATAAAAACGGCGTCAGCGATGGCTATGAAATGACGGTCAATGATATTTCCCATGCCTATAATTTTACATATAAAATGACAGCGATCTTCACTTCATAGCCATCGTTGACGCCGTTTTTATTCGATCATACGGTAGATTATAATGGAATTAGAGACAAGTTTTAAAATAGCCAAAATTTGTTTTTTTTCGAAATATCTAATAAGCCTTGAAATTCTCCGAAAAATCCGAAAGGCGCATATTTATGACCCCACAAAACTGCAATTCTTTCCCCATTAACCGACTCTCTATCTCCAGTAGTTTCCGAGATGCCCATAGAGAACATCGTAGGAAACTCACCCTGTATAGTATTTTGAAACTAACTATTGTTATTATTTGACTAGTTTAATTTGATTAATAAGGCTAGATTAATTTAATTTCAAATAAATTTGATCAGATTTTTTTTCGTATATTCTGCTACCAGAAAACCAAGATTATATGATAACGCACTTTTCAACAAAGTTGAAGGAAGATATAGTGTATCTATCACAATACTTAATAGAACTACTACAATTATTACAAGAAAAACAAAAAGAAGAAATACCCAAATACGCCTTCACCTACTACTCAACTACAAAATAAACGAATATAATCTCTTAAAAACACTAGACAACTACTTATTCTTGTATTCTACACTGAACAAATTATCAAACTTACTAATTTATCAAACAAAAAGAAAAAATAACAAAATTATCCCTTCACCTATTACTTAACTACAAAATAAACTATAAAAACACTACTAAACTATTTTTGGTAGACTACACTAACATACTACACTAAACACTATAATTAAACTTAAGAAATTAATCTAATTTTACACTACACCTTCAAAGAAAAAAGAAATATGAACATTTTCTAAAACTAGAAGAAACAGAACTTCCATACGTGCAACCAGGATAATAGGTCAAGGGGACAAAGAATATAAAATATTTTAATATGTGCATTCAGAAAGAAAAAATACCTCGAAAATTATCCAAACAAACATTTTTATTTCTTATCAGTGAGAAGCATCGGCCTTGTCGGCCTTGAAGAATTTGTCGGGTATTTACAATGGTCGAATTGTATAATTGCCAGCTTTTATAGCATATCTAATAGACAAAAAGTATCTGGTCGATTAGTAACCAATTGGCACAGTCCGAAAATTATCGATTTTTATTTTCTCTGTTTTTATTGGTAGCTTCAAAATTCAGAGTAACAAAAAATATTTTTCTGTAGGGAAACCGGTCCTGCCATCTAGTAGTCTTAGTCCATAAACGTCTTAGGTTGATCTACTTTAAAAATATATATACAAGGCTATTACTAAGACTTCGCTGTCCGTCCGTTTGTCCGTCACAAAGGTCTATCTTATGAACCGTTATAGCTAGACAGTTGAAATTTTCACAGATAATGTATCTATGTTGCCGCTATAAGAACAAATACTAAAAACAGAATTAAATAAATGTTTATAAATAAAAAAGTACTTTCACTAAACATTATCTTTTAAGTAAGAATTTTACATAGAATCTTTCAAGTCCTCGGTGGCCGTGTGGTTAAAGCGTTAGGACTTTACGCTGCTATGACGTTGGAGCCGTAGTAAGGCAGGTTCGAATCGTAGTCAAGGCGACTTTTTTTTAATCGTTTTTTTTAATTTTTACATATTTATTTTTATTTTTTACATATCTATTATTGATTAATACCATTTTTAGTAATTGTATTAATCTGTTATCTGTGTTATACTGTTTAATGTAATGTTTTTTGTCCTGACATGTAATGCTTTTACTTAATGAGTTTTATCAAAAAAACACAAGAGATAAAAAAGTTTCTAAACAAACTAAACTATCCAAATTAATTTTTGCTTGTGTGTGATAAGATTTTTCTTTAAATTTCGTTAACAAGAATGATAGGGGTAGTTTATTTCAACCCCTTCCACTCATTTTAAAAAAGTGAAAAAATTACCAGAAAGTGTGTTTTCATAACAGTAATGCTTCCATAAAATTTCATTAGTCTATCTCTTCGTTTTCAAGATAAAAAATAAAAACATTATTTTTCCGCCATCTTTGTACCGCGATATCTATCTAATGGTTGACTTTTGTCCCAACGTTTACAAAGCAAACTACCCTTTATTTTTAACGAGGAATCACCTCCTGAAGTTTTTCGCATTTGTTTTGAAACACCCTGTATAAGCGAAATTTAAAAATGCTACTAAATATCTTATTAAAAAAAATGTATCACAAAACTAGACAAGGTAATAGAATATTTTTCATGGTTTCGTTATATTTTTTTTTCAAACGTCGAAGAAGTATGAATTGTTGCGACGTGATTGATAATATAAAATAGTTATTTTTGTATCTAGTGCGCAAAGTGCTACTTCGGTGATCGATACTTGAATTTTTTAACGAGGCGTAGCCGAGTTGAAAATTAGTTGAGATCACCAAAGTAGTTCGCGGACGAGTTGCAAACAACATTTTTTCTACAAACTAGTAGTGGGAACTATCGAATGAATACTATCGAAACATTCGATAGTTGCAATTCATTCGAATAATTCGATAGTTAGTAAGAAAACATTCGTTGAAAACTATTCGAATAAAATTATCGAATAGATCCGTCATCTGCCTTGAAATATTGTATTTCTAGTAATTCGGCATTTATAAAACCATTCATTTATAAAATTCATTCATTTATAAAATTCATTCATTTATAAAATTCATTCATTTATAAAATTCATTCATTTATAAAATTCATTCATTTATGAAATTCATTTATTCGTCAGGATCGATTATAATAAAATATTAACTGAATTTTAGTTGTCGCCCGGCGACGTAGGTTTTTTTCCGAGAAAGCTGTCGGTGGCAATGCTATGAAAGAAGCCGGCATCTTTGATTTTTGCGGAGTCATATATAGATAAGGACACATTATTTTTTTATTGAGGTGCTAGTATTTACACAGAAAATACATTATGAAGGGCGCTATTGCCATATTTTGTATTAGTTGATATTAGCAAAGAATATTATTGTTTGGCTTTAGTTAGTTAGGGATAGTATGTCTATATATTCTGCATTTTTTTATTAATATTCTGTTGTTACACTGCAATAATACTTGTTATTTTGGATGTAGGAAAATTATTTTTAATGTTTTTAAGCAAAGACTGGTTTAATAAATAATAATAACAGTAATAATTTGTTATACCTACCTATTAACAACAAACTTTAAAATCATTTAATATAAATATTTTTTTTTAGTAGTAGCAAAATATAAACAACAAATTAGATGTCAAAATTATTTATATTAGATCCTATTTAAAAATAATATAGTCTCTAATTTTTTTGGCAACGTTGGTTTATTAAATAATAATAATTACAGAACTAATTTGTTATATTAACAACAAATTTTAAAATCCTGAAATATAAACATTTATTAATTTTCTAAGCAAGCGGTGTAATGGAAGGAAAATATAAATAAAAAATTAGAAATCAAAATTATTTATATTAGGTGCTTTATATTACTATTTAAAAATTATATTTACTTTTACTGGCATTTACTTTAAAAAATAAATGAAATATTTCTTCGCAAAAAACTACATGTAAGAGAATTAGCATAAACAAAATACAAACATCGTTAACTTTTTTTTTAAATTGGCACGTGTAAAATTTTCATTTTAATTTTCTCACCCCATAGTTTGAGTTCGATAACCATTTATTTAACCACATTACTTAAATATAATTATTAAGTTCCAACTAATTCATAGGTATTATTAAAACATCTAAAATACAAATATGTATTTTTAAAATTAATTGTAAGTTCATCTCATCTCTCTTAAAAATTGCTACTTCTCAAAATTTCCCATTAAAAAATAGACCATATACCATATAAAATGAAATAATTGAAAGATCGGACTACGGAAAACCACACAAATTATCGGAAAAATTTTGACCACCTGCACATGCACACAATCGTCAATAAATAAAATTAAAAAATAACTACTATTTTAGTATTTTAACTATTTTAATGAACGCAAAAATAGCACAGTATTTATACGGCGAAGTTATAAAAATTTGGAAGAACCAATAACTGACGCATACAAAATCCAAACGAATACTAAATTTCATTTATCAAAAGCATTCGATAGTCGTGGCTCAACGATAACCATTTAGTCGCACGGCGAGGTTGTCACATATGCTTTAGTTTACAAATGAATGAATGATTTTATTCGAATAAAACCATTCGATAGTTGAAATCATTCATTCATTAACCATTCGATAGTCTAATTCATTCGATAGTTCCCATCGCTACTACAAACATTAAAATCGGAATATCCCTAAAAATTATTATTATATTATTGCTTAGAAAAAGAAGCGTGAGCTTGGAATGTATTTTTTTATTACTGAACATCGTCATCGATTTCCTTTTAGGTCGTTTTAATACTTGGTATTTCTGGTGCTTGCCGCCGTGGGGAACTTACTAAAATGACGGTCGATATCATAGAAGATAAAGATTCAATTTTGATTGTTAAAGTATCCGATACAAGAACAAACATAGACAAATATAGTTAAAGAAACGTAACTGTTACATAAGTATACTCACCACATATTCAAAAACAAAAGTAAGTGTTTCTCGCGTATGAACGATGTCGTGCAACGTGACGATATTGGCATGTTTCAGTTCTTTGAGGAGGGAGGCTTCACGTATGGCGGTGAATGGAGCGCCTTCCTCCTCTTGCAGTCTAATCTCTTTCAGGGCCACCACCTGGTTCTGTAAACTAAAAATATGACATTTTACTAATATGTTTCGTTGCCGGACAGTTGTAATTTTCCGCCAAATTTTTGCTCCTCCCTTAAATAGAGGATATATTGAAGAATATATTGAAACTTGAAGAGATAGGTAAAAAATGGTATAATACAATTTGATAGAAACTTAAATTGTGCATCTGATTCTCATAAAATATACAGGATGTTCCATTTAAATTAAACAAGTTATTGCCGTTTAAAGCTAGTAATTATTTATAACGAAATTTTAGACACTCTGTATAAGGTAGTATAATTTTTATTATTGCAACACAATAACTGATCAATAAATAAACTTCAGTAAATATTTAGTATTAAAAACTTTGATACCCTTGGAGAAATGAAGTCTTAAAATTTTGACTGCAATTTCACAAAATTGAAAATATTTCAAAAACAGTAGGGTTTAAGTGTAATAAACCTTTATCAAATTTACCTTTATTTAAATCGTAGAAACTAAAAATGTAATAATATACAGGGTGTTCCATTTAAAAAAATACAACTTTGATATTTCTTATTTATTTGGGACACTCTGTATCTTGTAAAAATATTTTTAAATTTTAGCTCTAATAGTCCTTCAACGAACCCAAAACTTACAATTTGTAAAAATCTAATCGTTTAGCTACAATACTCCGCGTCGTATATGTGGTGAACAATCCTGTAGATACAATTTAATAAAGTTTACTGGAAAATATTATAGAAATGCCTGATATATTTTATGTTATTATTTTACACTGATATTATTCTGATTATTCACTGATGAATATTTTATGTTATTATTTTATATTATTTTTAAATGAATCAAATCAGCCATGTTTTATGAGTTCCCCTTACCGAGGGCCTGTTGTCAAAATGTACTTACTTGCTAAATCCTTTGTACACAGTGGCATAAGATCCCTCTCCTAATTGTTCTAACTTAATATAGGCTTCGGATTTGCCGAAAGGCGAGTCTCCCTGCAAAAAATTAAATTATAAATTACATAGAAATAACGTAAATAAATGAAGTATTGTAACAAGACTTGTTACAAGATTTGTTACTTTCCATTAGGGTAGTAATATTGTTACAAGACTTGTTACTTAGTACATAACACTCTAAATTAAAATTTAAAATGCTATTTTTTTAATTAAAAATGTCAAAAGTTGATATATGCTATGCCATTCTATTCAGAATTTTATTTGGTATTTTCTATCAAATGAAGTAAAAAATACCAAGGATGTCATTTAAAAATCAAAAATTGTAGTCGTTTCCGGTGAAACAGGAAGCGAACGAAAATAATTGAATACGTCAATAAATCCTAATTTATGTAATATACTAACATACCAAATCGCGTTTTTTTATTTGAACAAATAAAAAAGTTATAGGGGTGAGCCGCTTGAGACGCACTCGGTATTTCTACAAAAAAGAAATTAAAAAATCCGCTTACATTCAAAACATAATTAATGAGTAAGTCAAGCAAATGTCAATTATGTATTGTATTTATACGTACTTATTTCAAAACTATTAGACCAGGCAGAGCTATAGTCAGAATATTTCTGGAATATCACGACCGAATGTTTTTACAATTCGTTTTTAAAGCTATAAGCAAAAAATCGTCTGTAAGCAAAAATTCCTGCATGAATGGTCTTCGTAATAATTTCAAAGATGTTACCCTCTGTCATTTAAGTTGTAGGTTTATGAAATATAAGTAGTAATATCACAGTATATATTAAGTTCATAAAAGGAAATAGAGAAGAGAAAATGCCATTATTTTTAACATTGAATACGTTGTCTTCGAATACTTTTCGAATATTTTTGAATTAACACGAATGAAAATTTTTGAGAATCGAGAACATTTCGAATATTTTCGTATTCGAATACTTTTGAGAATCGAATACATATCGAATCGTTTCGAATTTGAATACTCTTGCGAGATCGAATACATTTTTTCGAATTACAATACTTTTGACAATCGAATGCATTTAAATCACTTAGTATTCGAATTCTTTTAAAAATCGGAAACATTTCGAATATTTTTGAATTTGAATACTTTTCGGAATCGGATACATTTCAAATCCTTTCATATACGAATACCTTTGAAAATCGAGTACATTTCAAATCTTTTCGTACACGAATACTTATGGGAATCGGAGTCATTAGAAATCCTTTAGCATTCGAATACTTTTAGAATCGAATAGATTCCGAATCATTTGAAATTCGAGTCCTTCTGATATAATCGAATATATTTCGAATATTTTCGTATTCGAATACTTTTGAGAATCGAATGTATTTGGAATCCTTTGATTTTAGAATACTTTTAAAAATCGAAGACATTTTGAATATTTTTGAATTCGAATAGTTTTGAGAATCGGATACATTTCAAATCCTTTCGTATAAGAATACCTTTGAAAATCGAGTACATTTCGAATCTTTTCGTATTCGATTACTTTTGAGAATCGAATACATATCGAATCTTTTCCAATTTAAATGCTTTTGCGGAATCGAATACACTTCGAATTCGAAAACTTTTGAAAATCGAAGACATTTCAAATATTTTCGAATTCGAATACTTATACCTTTGGAAATTGAGTACATTTCGAATCTTTTATTTTTATATTTAATATTTCGTATTATAATAGAATACTTTTGAGAATCGGAGACATTGCAAATCTTTTCGTATTCGAATACTTTTGAGAATCGAATAAATTTCGAATTCATTCGAATTCGAGAACTTTTGATAATCGAATACATTTCGAATCCCTTCGTATTCGAATACTTTTGAAAATCGAAGAAATTCGGATATTTTCGAATTGAAATACTCTTGAGAACTAACAACATTTCGAACCTTGTCGTCAGGGTTCGGAAGTAGTTAATTAAGACGTAATTTATACCTGATTAACTACGTGTAGTTTTTCTTCAAAAACTACGTCTTTTCCTGTTCATTAACTACATGAAAACTACGTTAATGGACTAGAATTATAAATTCATAAACAACAGAATATAAAGGATAACACAATATATTAAACTTATTATAAAATACGAAAACTCAAAACATTAACACATTATGTGTTTTCTAAAGCTTCAACTTATTATAACCTCACCTCAAACCTGCCTCAAAGCTTTGATATTTGAAAGTTACATGAATAGGTTACAAAAACTACACCCTCTACATAAACTACATTAACTACATGTAATGTAGTTTATGTAGTTTTTAAAAGTAACATGTAGTTTTCTGAACCCTGCTTGTCGTATTGGAATACTTTTAAGAATGAATACATTTCGAAATCGAATAGTTTAGAGAATCCGATTACAATTAATAGAATTATTTGAACACAAGCATTTAGTGATTCATATAGAGGATTCTCGAGATGTCAACTCCACTGTCGTTTTCGAATTCAAATGATCTGGTTGCTAACTGGTTTGGTATTAAACTTTTTGATATATTGGCGAATTTTGCGATATTTAAGAACAATAGAACTCATGTAAGTACACAAGCATTTAGCACCAAAACATAAAATATTGATCTAAAATTCAAAAGAGTGGCGCCACGAAACTCGCCGATTCAAATTTTAATTATTTTTAGTATTCACGTACATAGTGGAGAATTGAGTGTATTCCGAATACACTCCAGAATCGAATACTTCGATTATATTATGTATTACAATAATCCCTTAAATAGGACGGCAAACGTATTTACTAAAAATAGTATTAACTAAACGTTCTCCAGAAAAATAGTATTAGTCAATTAAACTACAGAGAGGCAATTTAGATATCGCCCTTTTTAAGCATACCTCATTCTATTTAAAGACGCAAAATGGCCACATTACATGACAAAATACTTAAATACAAAAAGATCGCATTATCTTATGCAAGCTAAAAAGCCTTCCTTTGCGTCGTACTGCTTACAAGACCTGTAATTCTTATTGAAAAATAATGTTCTTGTATCTATACGGGTTTACCTAATTAGGCAAATTACTTCTCCATTAACTGATTACGGCTACAACGGCCAGACCTATCTAACGGGGGTCGATATAGTGGACGCCTCGATTAAATAAATATTGCGTTCTATGGAAAAAGAAACACGCCAACGGTGAATCAATGCGTAAGGTAAGCAGCCATTCGTAAAAGAGGCCTCATAAGAGGCTTCATATTACTTAAGCAGCCATTTTAATTCATTTGCTCAATTAACATTGGGGAAAACGACTAGATATAGAAATCAAAATACATAAGAGAAAAAAATTACGTTGTATTTATAAACTAGTTTCGTTGATTGAAGAAATAAGAAGATGCGCAACCTTATGAGCGATTTCGTGGCACAAAACATGTCCGAGATAGTCATCCGGTAGATAGATATCGGGTAGCTAGCGTTACCGTCAGCCTCTCCGAAATTTAGTTTGGCTCTGCGCCGTTGCGCGCTAATAGTCGCTTACAGCACAGCGGATAAATAATACTGTACCGTAGCTCTGCTTTTCGTCCACAGATTTCCAACGACGACTACTGCAGAGAATGCGGAGAGGAAGAAGAAACCATAGAGCACCTGCTGTGCCACTGTCCGGCACTGGAATACCTACGCGACGGACACTTTAAAACTTTAGGACAAGGTTTTTAGGAGAGAATATAGGAAGCAGCAGAAGCCAACATCAGGACATTGGGAACCTTGCAAAGAGCTGGAAGGGCTTTAACGCAAAGAAAGAATGAGAAGAAGGTTTGGTACAACAATATAGGGATATCGCAATGGACCCAAGGCTTCCGAGTGAGGGATCAAACATGATCCCAAACCCCAGCAACCTAACCTAACCTAAGCTAAATCTAAGCCTACGGCGTATTTTGATTGCTATTACCGACAGCTGCAAAAAAACAAAAAATTAAAACAGTTCGGAACGCGTGAAGCACTCTACTCCCTAAATGTAATGACACAGAGGTGTAGAGACATGAATGTGAATGTATTTGCATGCGTCATAGACTATCGTAAGGCGTTCGACTGTGTTAATCATCAGAGGATGATCAAAATTCTAAGAACAACCGGAGTTGACGAACAAGACCTACGTTTCATATCAGAACTTTATTGGTATCAAACGGCGGTAGTTGAGATGAAGCAGTCAACATCGGAAGATATACAAATCTATCTGTGCGGATGTACATCTGTGTGGCAAGGGACAAACACTCGAAGAAGTGACCTCAATAAAGTATTTAGGAACAAACATCAATAGTCACTGCGACCCGAAAAGAGAAATATTTTCAGGAATCGAGCAAGCGAGAAAAATCTTCGTGAGTATGAAATCATTTTTTACAAGACGAGACCTCAGTGCGGAACTCCGAACTCGAATGGCCAGATGCTACGTCTTCTCTGTGTTACTCTATGGATGTGAGAGCTGGACACTGGATTCACAGACCGAAAAGAGAATAGAAGCCTTCGAAATCTATGTGTACAGACGGATGCTGCGAATATCAAGGGTACAAAGAATCACCAACGATGAAGTGCATGTAACAGCGCATGCAGAAACAAAAAGCGATACTGAACACCATCAAGGAAAGATAAATGCAATACCTGGGTCATGTGATGAGAGGTGATAGATACGAAATACTGCGCTTCATAATAGAGGGCAAAGTGCAAGGGAAAAGATCAGTAGGAAGACGCCAGAACTCATGGCTAAAAGATTTAAGGAGATGGTTTGAACGCTCGTCTGTGGAAATCTTCCGGGCTGCAGTTTCCAAAGCCACAATTGCCATTTGGATCGCCAACCTTCGGCAGGAGAGGGCGTGATAAGAAGATTATGTTAGCATTGTTAGCGAAACGCGCGTCCAGTGTTAAAAGCTAAAATTGAAGTGTTTTAGTGTCTTGTGGTAACTTAGTGTTTTATTGTAATGTTATTACACCAAAAGTTCTAACCCCCAACTGTAATTTATTTATTTTAATTGGATTCTTTTAACATTTAAATAATTAACCTTTTAGTTCACGATTAAAGCACTAGAATTT